GCTACTAAGTCATCTGTGCAGAGAAAGTTTTACCAAATGGAAGAATTCCAAGACACCATGATGACCTTTCCATGAAAAGCCTGTGACCAGACTCTTCAAATTCCCAGACAGCCAACCAAGAACCTCTAAAACATGCAGAAATGAGAGGTCCTGCTCACTGCCTTTAGGTACTCCCCATTGGCTGCCCTCAGAGTACTGCCCAGTCAGAATGGATAGCAAGGCAAGATCTTACTAGCTGCATGTGCTGAGACTACTCCCTGCTGTAGTTGATGCCAAACATTTGAGCTTTTGCTTTGTAACCTGCTTGTATTCAAATGATTTTACTTGTATAGAAGTTAGGCAGGAAAGTTACAGCTTTGAGGACAATCCCTGAAATTTAGTAAGACACTGCTTCAAAATAAAAATAAAAAAAGAAAGAAAAAAGCTGGGGATATAACTCAGTGGCAAATCATTCCTATGTTCAATGTCTAGTACTCAAAACAAACAAAAACAAAACAAAACAAAAAAAAAACAGTGGCTGGGGTTGTTCCACTGGGAACGTCACAGGAAGGAGAGAAGGAGAGAAAGATGTGCAAACAAAGACACTCAGTGCCCTTCCTGCCTGGCACCCAGCATGACAGAGTGGCAAGAGGAGAAAGCCACTGAGGAGTTGAAATATCCTCCCCAACCAGCAGTAGGTAGAGCTCATCTACAGCCTCCAGAGAAAGATTAGAGATTTCAAACACTAATTCAAATGGAAACAGGGCAGCTTGGATGGTCATCTCCAATTGAGAGAAATGGGAGAAAACAGTAAAATGGTGAGTGGTTAATCAAGACTGCTTGTAATCCAGAGAAAAGTGAATATCGCTCTGAGACATCCTGTCAGTGTCCTAGAATGAGTGACAGCAAAGAGTTTGCATCTAATGATTCACTTCCCTATCAAAAAACTTGGTTGTTACCTGTCATATGGAGAAGATCATTTTATTTCAGTTTTTGACTTTTTCTTTTTGTCTCAGGTAGAGTGAGCCTTGCCTCTCAAGTCTTTGAATTTGATCTCATACCTCCACTGAGAAAAGGAATAGATGAGAAACAATGATGCATGTTGACTAAAGAGAGCATTGAATGTGAGCAGAAAGATGAGGAGATCGCCTTTGTCACCATCTTAGCTAAAGATCTGATTAACACGTTCAAGCTTCTGAATCTGTAGTTATTATAAGTAAGATTTCACAACCAAGAATAGTTCCATTACAGAACAGTGCTTCAAAAATTTCCAACTCACAGGGTATTCATAAATCAGAAGGTACCTTAAAAACTGACAGAGGCAGCTTTTCAGAGATATATATTGTTCTATTTGGTCAAATATTTATGATAAATTTTGAAAATCCAAAGTATATTACTATCATTTACATTGAATACTTTCCTAAGGTTTTACATAGAAAATGTGCCATGTATACAATAATATATAAGATAGCAGCATGTCCTACTTGTACCTAACACCTACTAAAGTCATGGTGCTATCAGTGCATTTCCTTCCATTATACGGGACTAAAAGCATGATCTTATAATCATTTTCCTATTTTGTTCATCAATTTCATTTATTTTGGCAACACTTCTTAGAACTGTAAGGGGACAGATAGATGAGAATGGTGGGAATATGAGGTTAAGAGAATAATTCTATAAATGAATCCACTGTTGTGACCCCCCCCCCCCTCATGCTTTCTTTGCATTCTGCCTATAGTGCCTTCTGGCAATTGGATGTTAATCTCTGCGATCATCCTCCTGGGCACTCTGGGTTACTAACAATTAACCTCCTCATTCCTGTGCTTAGGCAGGTACATAAAGAAGGTAAAGAAGGCAAAAAGATAAAAGGGAAATTCTGAAGCCTATAAAAGAACATGATGTACCCCTCCCATGGAAACCCAGCTCTGTAGACCCTTCTCCTTCGAGATGTCTGTTGCTATTACTTTCTTAAATAAAACTTGGATTCTATACTTGCTTCAACATTTCTCAGGTGTTTAATCTTTATCACTGGGGAACAAAAACACATTCCTGATCTCCAAGACCCATATCCGTTGGGGCTTTCAACTACAGATAGGAGGTTTGATCACAATAGTTATGCCAGGTTCACCAGTAGCCTGTGTACTATAAAAGTGGGGCAAGGGTGACACACAGATGCTCAAGAAAAATCTCCTCATTTTTTTCTTCTTCCAAGCATGACCTCAATACAAAATCTCTGTTAAAGAATCATGGCCATTAGAGGGAAATATAAATTTTAATACCATTTTTTTAGCTTATTCTGTTTTGTTATCAAACAGAGAGAACAATGTGTTGTTAATCTCTCTGGCTGCTCCTGTGCACTCTGTGCTGCTAACAAAAGAGCAAGACATACTCCCTCCCACAGACATGTAGCACTGGAGCCCATTTGCTTTGAAGTCTGTTACTATCACTCTCTTAAATAAATCTTTATTTCTACACTTGCCTCAACATTTTCTGTGTGTATAATCTTTAACGCCTGGGAAAAGGACCCAGACCTGAACTCAGAGACTGGTATCAGAAACCTAAAATTATGATGTTTTTACAACAAGAATAAAATGTAGTATTACAATGTGAGCTCATAATCAATACTTTTCCAATAAAGAAGTATCCTTGTCCTATTTATTAATGGCATATTTATATCAATTAATTTTCAATCTTCTCTAGTGATACTTAATACCTTAATGACATTATTCAACATAAACACTGTATATATTTCCTAACATCAGATACTATGAAGTTGATAAAATATTTTTAGTGACTTGTCAATTAAGATATATGAAAATAAAATCACAAACCATGCAGTGTCTTCTTGAGTCAAAATGTTTTTTTTCTAGTACAATTTTTATTGCCTTTGAAAATATTACTGATCACAAAATTTATTTAAGTTGAATGTTTCTCTCCAAATAACTCAATCATTTTTTAGAGTGTTTCTTTTATGCTTCTAAGAGATTCAACAAACTATATGTAAACTGACCTAAATGAATAACTCTCTGAGATGGTTTCTCTATGTACCAAGTAAGTGTGAATTAGCAAGCACAATCCCTGTCACGCAAGAAATATCCAACTCCTACATTTTTAATAAATCTACCATGAACAAACTCTTTCCAGGAAAAGGAAAATTGTTCTAAGGTTTTTAAATGGACTTCCCATTTTAAACTCTGCCTGAAATCTGAGGTATAGCACCATGTTACCAAACCAGTAAGTGTCAAGCCTTTACTAATTCCCAAGAAAAAACCATCTGGGATTGCCTGCTGGTGCCCCAAACTCAGTGTTTGTCTTCCTCACTGTGGACAGGAAAAAAAAATTGCCCACAATTGGGTGTTTATTTCCTAGAGAATTATGCATTTTACATTCCAAATGACAAATTACCCCCACACACTATCTTGAGATATGGATTATTTGAGGGTAGCCTGTTACCTGATATTTGATGAATGACAACCCTTCTTTCACTGTGCAAAAAAAAAAAAAATCCTATTTTTATTAGGAAATTTGCTAGTTTCTTTAAAGTACCTCAAATGACAACAAGTCCTCCAGTTTCCCTGAGGGAGCAGAGATAATCTGTGTAGATTTTTGAACACAAACAAAAAAAAGGCTTATAAATATGTAGCCCTATTTGCATTCTAAAGGACAGTGTATGACTTGATTCTTATCTCTTTTGCCCTTGGCCAAGAAAACTGCTCTATGAAAATGAAAAAATGTTTTCTGTCCCACACAAAACACATAGAATATAGAAATTTTTTAATAAATATTTTACATCTTTTGGAAGTACTTGCATCAACAACATACACTCTCAGATAAAAGAATTCTACTGATTTTTCTTTACTTTTGTGTTGTATGTGCTGGTGTGTGTGTGTGTGTGTGTGTGTGTGTGTTGTCCATCTATAAACATAAAGAATACAGTTTTGAACTAACACACTCCTGCAACAGGGAATAAAATCAACTAATGCCCCAGAAAATCAATGGAAAGAAAGAATAGAAGGTGATTACCATCTGACTTCTCCCAGTGTGAGGAGATCTGCAATCTATGCTCTGCAAGGACCTATGAGGCAATACTAGGAGTCCCTGCATGTTGTCCTCCTCAGGCTCTCTAGAGGGCAGATGTAATGATGGCCTTTGAGTTTTCTCTCCACTTAAGTTTCTGAACTTCTACAAGAATAGGAAAGGGCACTGTAAAATTCAGACATCCTTATAAATGCCTATAGTGATATTACTAGAAATTTTCATACTTTTCATAGTACTTGATTTAATTGTGATCAGATTTCTATCCTTTTTGAAGAAGCAGTCAATTTCTGCATCACAATATGATGGATGGATTTAGCAGGAAATATAACTAACTTTCACCCTGTAGTGCCTTAAAGAAAAATATAAAAGAATTGAGTTGGTGCGAAGCTAGTTTATGCAGCAAGAGGGTTCTGATATAAACTAAGAGTGAATTTAAAAGGCAGGATTTCATGTCTTTTGTTCAACTCTGTTTCATATGATGAGACTCCCATACTTGGTATTAGAAAACAATCACCAAATATGTGACAAATACTTCAGTAACCATGACAATATTTGTAGAGGAAGAAATGAATGAATACGGAAGAAGGCATTTTAAACTCTACAACAAGCAAAGGTTAAAAGATGAATGAGAGGTTGCAGGGATGTGAGGTAAGTGAGGAGAGGTGGGAAGAGTGAACAAAACTGTAATGCAAAAAAATGATAATAATAATAATAATACTCATAAAATATATTAATTAATTAATTATTTTTTTTAAAAAAAAGAGTGAACAAAATTGAAGAAGTCAATTACAGGTTGAGGTGGGTGGAGAAGGGGTGGAGTATAGAACTTGATCAGGAGCTGAGCTACAGTCCAAAGGATATAAAAGCCTGGTTGAGCCAGGGAGGGAAAGCAGCCTGAAGCCCAGGAAGACAAACAGGATCAGTGACATAGCTGACACCTCTACAGTCCCCACAGTAGGGCTGAAAAGCCCAGAGTAGGAGAAAACAAGCTCAGAATGACAATCTTGTTCTTGTCCTACCTGCTAGGAGTCTGGCTGCTTTTGGGCCAGTTCCCCAGCCATACCACTGCAGATTCACTGAAACACCTGTCCAGAAATATTTGCACCATCGTCCTCAATCGCTTTCAGGACAAATGCATGGCAAAGACGACAAAAGGCTCAGGTGTCCTTGGGGATAAGACACTGCAAGAAGTACGACTGTCAGGTGAGAGCAGTTAGCCCTCCTCTCTGTCTTTGTGCACTCAACATTAGGGGCTTTCCAGCTGCAGGGGGCTGAACTTCCACCTTGGGGACTCTGCTGGAAATATCTGTGGCTACTTGTTCTTAGCCACACTTTGCAGGCAAGATTCCTCAAAGTGTGGACTTTTCTCACCAGAGGGAGGGAAGGCTGAAAGAATGTGGAAGAGACACACCAGAAGCACTGTGTGACTTTCCACCCTACACTTGGGGTGACAGGGTGGGCCACATACAGAGCCCAGGCAGGAGGAGAAGCTGCCCAGTGACCAAAGGTAGGAGAGACACACTCAGGACTGTTTTGATCAAGTTCCATTATACGAAGGCAAACATGCTTTTGCTTCTCAATAGGAAAACTTGTTGCCATTTGCCTGATTCTCCTTGACATGAATATATTTTCATACTACTCTCCCTCTACTCTTTCAACCTCACAGAACGCCCTGCAATCTTCAGCCATAGAGATATGGGAGTTCTAGTAACGTTGTCTGAGATCAATCCTAATTTTCCAGTGGAGCTGAAGAAAACACTTTCTGACACTTGGTCATTATTGAGGGACCTACAACATCCAAAAGACCGAGACAGGTTGCTCCAGGCATTCACTCATTTGTGTTGTTATTTTAATTGTTTCAAGAATATTAAGAAACTTATTTGTGTTATATAATGGAAATCGTTTACTTATCGTGTAATATTGATTTGTATTTTCAAATATAACTCCACAGAAAACCAAGTCAGTCTCCAGTAATTATCAAAATCAGGAGCAATTGTTGTTGGTGTGTTGTTCATATCTTCACTATTCTGAAAGGAACAGTCTCCCCAGGAATTTAATTTGTACCAACATGTAATCCTTCATGGGAAGGTGGTCTTTATTCTTTTATTAATAGTATAATAACATCACTACATTTAATTCTACAGAATTTAAAATGAGTAAAGAGTTTATGAGATATCCAGTACTATGACTCACTTCAACACTGCCTATCTCCAGGAGGAAGAAGGCAACAATATTGTTTCATGAACAATATCAGCATATAGACCAGTTGAACATAAAACAACAGGCCTCCTAATTTTCTGCTTTTGTCAAATTGTACACACTTTGTTTTACTGATGTGTTCTTTGCCAGCTACCAGAGTATAAAATAAATCTGTGTCATCTGGATTTTTATGTCCATTTGTATTTGCCTCTTTGGTTCTTTCATGTTTAGAAGTGACCCAACTTTGAATTCAAATGTACTTTGAATTTACAAAGTCTTGATTCTGAGGTTTGATTTTTTTGTGTGTGCAACAATTATGAATTTGTCAGCACTGTCTCAGGCAAAAAGAAAACAAAGAAATCCCACATTTACCTCTTCAATTTGTAAACTATTTTAATAAAAAAGATTATAACAAACAACAAGAAAAATTGATTATCTCTTGACATCCAAATCAATATTGGAATAACAGTGACACTTTCAATGTAGTCTAAAATAATTAAAAACAACCTGTACCCTAATGATGCAATTTAACATAAAGATGAAGATTCAGTCCCCATATGACCCATCTGTTGCCCAGGTGGCAGGGCCAGAATAGTAAATTATCCATTCATAGGACCATTTATCATCTTTCCAGTTACCAATTGCCAAGGCTCATCACTTTCTGGGCTCCTTGGACTTCATGTACTAGGCCTCCCAAGGGTTCCCCTCTGGCAAATGGAAGAAGGAAAATAGAGGGGTGAATTGTTTCCATACACATGATCCTGAGCAGATTCAGAGGAGTTGAGTGTAAGAGGCCCTTCCACATTCCAGCATAGTCCCCCTGAGTATTGACACTTGATTTCTGTAGCGGCTCTGTCCCAGGCCTGTTCGAGGTTATAGAAATTTGACAGCAGGTGGGGACGTTGTTATGTGTCATTTGAGGATCATCACTGCTAGTTTTTTCATGTCATTACTTTGTAAAATTCTTGGTCCGAACATGTCATAGTCCCAAATGAATGTTAACCTACTTTCCCTCTAGGGAAAGAAAATGTTTTCCAATAATTGAGGTTTTGAGGATCCAAAAACCAGTAGTTGAACAGGGAAACATTGTTCTACCTAGGGTTCATGAGTTTCCAGCCTCAACAGCCGTGGATCCCCTGTATTAGTTCCTCTATACACATGGCAAAAAGAGACACTCAGAGATTGAACTATAGTATCTGCCAAGTTCAGAAACAGGTTGGTAGAAATGGAATTTGTGCTTTGTTATATTTCTTCATAAAAGGAATTAAAGACTTGGTGGGAGGAAGACTTAAGTGAAGTTGTGACTCTTTTGAAGTATACTATGGTCCCTGTGTCAGTGCCTCATCCACATATATGTATGCAAACTGGGTGGCCTGTTTTCTATTTTGAGCCTACAGGGTCAAGGATAGAAACTTTAACAGGCTCCTAGTTTAGTTTACACTGGGGTCTAGTGGCACCCTTTTGAAGAATGGTAGTTTGTTCTTACTCTACCAAGTGGCCCATGAAACACAACTCCATGAAGGACAGAAAAATTTGTCATTATCAATACACATGGGTCATGTACCACTTGTAGGCTGTTCACAAATATCCTTGTCATTGGGCCTGCACCCCCTTTCCCAAGAAAAGCCTCAACATGATGTGTTGAATATACTGTGGGGTCACTGCAATTTCCCAAGCCTTGTTCATGACCCCACATGCATCAAAAGGCACTGACACTGTTTTTTTTAGGTTAGTGAGCTAAACTTTGTAAATTAATGGTCCTTGTTCCACATTGCCTTCCTGCAAGCTTTGGACTTCCAGACATTCCTCAGTTGGGAATATTGTGGGTCAAAACAGGTATATTGATGCCCTTTTGGCAGATAGAATAGGTTGTCCTTATGTCTGCATGTCCCCAAGACTATTCACTGGCAAGAGAAAATGGTATGGTAAAGGATGATTGTGGCAATGACATGGCCTAATAGAGTCATACAAAAGCATAAGTCACACACAGGCTGAGGGACATTAGTGCACAGATGGGAGCTAGGTCAGACATAACAAATAACAATGAAATATTCTATCAAAAGTAGGTAAAAGACTGCTAATGGAAGATTTTCAACCTAGTGTCAGTTGGTTGGAGCAGTCCCTGCTAATCCTATGATGAAAATTAATATGAAAACTAAAACAACAGAGAAGATTAGGGGTGAACACACCAAAGCATTATGTGAAAAGACTAATTTAGAATACAAGAGTAGTCTGTTTATCCCGACAGGCAGTTGATTCCTCAAGCCACTGAAGTGTATAGATTAGTGCAGTTCCAGGGTGAGCAAAGAAGGACTTTTATCCTTGGAAGTCTTTCAGGGTACAGCTCACTTATTTTGGTTGGCTACCTTCCACATTGCAGCAGGAACGGGAACACATTCCATCATGATAAGCTGGTTTTACCATATTGTGGTGAATAAAGGGAACAACATCAGCCACCTTCAATTCAGTGGGGTTGGATAAAATGACAGTGAACAGACCCCTTCAAGGAGGCTTTAGGGGTTAAATTTTTCATTCTTTTTTCCAAAGAACATGTCTTGGTTGAAGAATTAGGCATCTCTGGTCAGGCTCACAGGTAGCCATTCCCTAACCCAATGGTGTGTAGTGGTCATAGCTAGAAGCCTGCATATGCTTCCTCAGCATAATACTTCCAAATTTGTTAAGATCTTCTCATGTATCTCTCATAATGAGAAGGGAGAATCCACAAGAAATCTCATAAGGAAAAAAAAACCTATCTTTCTAGTAGGGCTAGACCTAATCCTTAACAAAGTAATTGGCAAAACCTAGTTCCAGTGTAGGTGTGATTCCAGTTTTATTAGTTGTAATTTTAAAGTTTGATTCATTCCCTCCACTTTCATGGAGCTCTGGGGATAGTATGCAATGTGGAACTTCCAGGTCATCATCAACCCCTTTGCCACCAATTGCACCACCTCAGCAACAAATGTCAATTCATTTTATGACCCATGATGATTGGTATTCCAAACCAAAAAATTATTTTTATTCAGGAGAAGTTGGGCCACTTCTTGTTCCTTCTCTGCAGTAGAGAAGGCTTCCATAGAACCTGAGGAAGTATCCACAAAGACTAGCTAATGCTTATAGTCCTGGAATCAGGGGAGCTCAGTTGACAACTATATTTTCAAATTGGGCCTGTCCAACACTTTGCATCCCAGGAAAGATCTTAGGTACTTGGAGTGGGTTATTGTGGGCTGATGTTTCACTTTGTTCTGACACTACTCTGGCTATTATGGAGCATTGGGGAATGTAGAAATATTGGCCTAATGTGGCCTAGAGAGCCATCTTACCAATGTACATCTTCTGGTGAAAACACTTGAAAATGGCTGGGGTTAGGACCTCCAGAATTGCTCTATGGACATCTTCAAATCTCCACATAAATGCGAGAAGTAATTCCCATTTTCCATTTAAAACCAGCTGATCTCATGTTTTGAGTAAATAGGGTCCCATTATGTCAATGGGTTAGTGAACAGGGAAAAAGTCAAGGCTGTTTGTTCTGATGCCCTCTTATAGGTCATGAACTTTGCCTCTTGGTCGGGTTTATGATTTCCCACAGCAACTGTGGCATACTCCCTTTGATTCCCAGACAATGCATGACGCCACCCTTTAAGTAGGCCATGCACCATCTAAGAGTTCAAGGATTTCATTGCCATATTTTGTCTTTCTCCCCTGAGTTGATTAGGCTCCTTTTCTTTATATAAAGTCTATAGTATGTGGAAAGTGGTGAGGCATATTTAGAGTCTGTGTATATATTAACATGTATTCCTGCTGCCAGTTGAGTGGTTGGGTTGGTGTGATGAGTTCTGCCTTTTGTGCTGAGTTTTTCTGGCAGAGTTTTACATACATGGTAGAATTTTGGGTCACCATGGGGGACCCAGCAAGGCATTCTCCCTCTTGTACAAAATTTCTATCATTGGTGAAGTACTCATTATTGGGATTTTGGGGAGGCTGATTGGATAAGTCTGGATGGGTGGAACATAACTTGGTCCGTGACTTCAGTAAAATTGTTATGTTGCTGACTGGGATAACAGGCATTAAACTCATGGGGTTTAAGGTCTGCCCTACTTCCAGGAGGACGTTTGAATTTGAGCACTGTACTTCCTCATTCCTGACCTCCAGGTGTTGGTCAACCAATATTGCCAACTAACGACAACTAACTAGTTGGCCAATATTGCCTTATGCTATATTAATGCCACCACAGAGTATGGCATTTGAAACATTTATTTTGTAACTATCAATTTGTTAGCCTCTGGCATTGAGAAGGCTGTGGCTGAAAGTACTCGTAGGTAGGGTGGCCAGCCAGGTCACAGAGTCAAGTTGTTTAGAGAATTATGCCACTGGACAATGCCATGACCCCAAAATTTGGGTCAGGACCCCCACTACAATGCCAGTATGCTCATGTACATTTTAGAAAAAAAGGCTTGGACAGGTCTGGGATTCCCAAGAGCGGTGCATTAGTGAGGGCCTATTTAATTTTCTCAAAGGCATTTTTTTTTGCTGTTCTACTTAATTATACATGATATCAGAATGCATTTTGATTTATTGTACACAAATGGAGCTCAACTTTTGTATATGATATAGAGTTACACCCTTTGTGTAATCATACATGTACCTAGGTTAATGATGCCCATGTGATTCCACCATTTTTACTAACCCAAACCCCCTCTCCTCCTATCACTCCCCTCAGCTCAATTCAAAGTTCCTACATTCTTCCCATGTCTCCTGCCCTGCCCCATTATGGATCAGCATCCACATATCAGAGAAAATATTTAGCCTTTGGTTTTGGGGGATTGGTTTGTTTCACTTAGCATAATAATCTCTAGCTCCGTCTATTTACCTGCAAATGCCATTATTTTATTTTATTTTAATGGTGAGTAATATTCCATTGTGTATATAGACCACAGTTTCTTTATCCATTCATATATTGAAGGGCATCTAGGTTTGTTCCACAGTTTAGCTATTGTGAATTGAGCTGCTATAAACATTGACGTGATGGCTGTGTCTCTGTATTAAGCTGATTTTAAGCCCTTT